AGTATGGTGATTCAATAAAAAGTGGACATTTCGTGCTGGGAAAAGGATTGCTAAAGTACTGCAATATCCAAAGAAATGGGCTGCGTGCCCGAATCGAACCTAAAGGTAGGTTCCTCCTTCGATTGTTGCCGCAGAATGCCGCGCTTCTCATTGCTCATGTGATGTTCCTAACACTCCTTCTTATCACTTCCTGTGGGAGCAGCCTTCCTTGGCTCAAGGAAACAGACTAAAATGATGTCTTCCTATCCTTCTCGGGGTGTTATGGTGTTACTTGTCCTTATCTTTCCTAGTATGAACGTTTTTTCTGAAAAAACTCAGGAGTCGTCAACTAATATTCCTATCTGCAGGCTGTTTCAATGGGTCCAGAAGCGACGATGTCGAAGATGTTACCTTCCATGTGAAGAAGTACGCGATATGGCGGCAGGGTAAGAGCTCTACACTGTTTTCGTGATACTACCCTACTCGAATATACTCTGAAATATAGTAACTCAAACATCGCCCCAAAAGCACTCTTGTGCTCTTCGCTTGCTGTCCCGTCAGACTGAGAGTTCATAGGTTACTGATTTCACTTTCACTAACTTACTTGACCGCTTTTCTCACAGCTCCGATTTAGGCTGTACATCTGCGATAAGGTTGCAAGAACCATACTCGTGTCGGCTAAGGGTAGATTTCACACTCGTTAGGTGGAGCCTCCCGGCCTGACCCTTTCTCATTGCTTGGACTGCTGTGAGGCGGATGGGTGCGCCAATGACGAGGGCAGACTGTAAGACACGGCTTCACCCATACGACAAACGTAAAACTTTGCAATTTCCCATGCTTCACTAACTTCAAAGAACAATTGTTGTGGCACCACCGGGGGGCGGATCCTAGCCCTTCCCGTGGGCAAGGTATATGGGTTCGCAGCTGCAGTAGTGAGCAACTTTTTCCACACAAAAGTGCACGGGAAGTGGCTGCATTGTAGTCAGGGCACAGCATTGGTTGGGGATTCCCTATGGGGGGGGTCGTATTTGGCCGCGTACAAAAGGGGGGGGGGGTCGTATTTGGCCGCCAAAAGGGGGGGGGTCGTATTTGGGCTGGGAAAAATTTATTTTTATAGTTGATTTTTCTCTCCTTGCGGACGTTTTGGAGGGGGTCGTAATTTGGTCGTTGTGGGGAGGGGGGGTCGTATTTCTGGCTAGGAATTATGTGGTTCACCTTGTTTTACCCTGTGTTCTAGCTACTAAATGTATGCCCGTACGAATGTACGTCGCACTTGCTTTACTAAGCATACCCCAATACCCCCCGCTCGAAAAACTTTTTCGCCGTTCGCCGAAGTATAAACACAAACCATATCAGCCATGTCAGCCATCGTAGGAGCCATGGGGGGGTCGTACCAGCCCCTGAAAGAAGGGGGGGTCGTAAAAGCTCGACCAAAATCCCCATCGAATGCTGTGCCCTGATTGTAGTGTATCGGGTAGTTATTTGTGTTTAATTCTTTTTGTGCCTGCGAGGTTGTTAGGTGGAACTGTTTATTGACGGCCTAACGTTTCGACCAGATCGTCGTCCTCGGAGGCCTGAACATCGCCCAAGATTTTTAATTTGTTTTCTAAACCGTCAAACGCCTCGTCCTCCTAGCGTTTCTGACGAAGCTTCAAGGAACAACCGAAAATCTCCCGTATGTATAACTAACTCACCAAGTCCACCGCGGCAAGAGCGGAAGAAGCCGCCCAGTCAATGTTAGTAGTATTTGTGAGACTCACTGTGCTGTCCTTACATATAGTAATCATATTCAAGACTTGCACGTCTCACTGCTCACAGTAGCTGGCAGTGCGGTGAAAATGGCATGGGATAGCGTCTCCACACTGACATCGCCCGCGCAGTACGCAGCTCGCATTGACCACAGCCAAGCGAGCTACTTCTCTGCACCCTCTCACTTGTAGATGTTCTCTACTCCTGACTACGCCTTTGCTGGAAGGTGCTGCGCCTAGAGGATAGCGGCGGTATAGGAGGTGTCACTACCGATAAGTGTTATCCTAAAGAAAGTCACATAAGACTCGCACCTTCCTTGGGTCGTACGTACATTACGTTCGATCCCTAATTGTGGAAGAGCAAAGCAAACTCATCTAGGAGAAAAGTACTTTAACGAAATATCGTTCGCGCACCTCTCAGGTCGCCGAAAATTCGCGTATATAAAAGGGGTTTCTCCTTATTCTCCGAGGGAAAGCAAATATTCTAGCTAAACTTATCCCAGGACGAAGGATCAAAGGAGATGGCATTTGTACGTGTTATCGACATACACCACCAGTACTCGTCTATGGAGTCGCAATGAATTCTCTTCTCATCAACTCTTGAGTAACCAGTATCATACGAAGTTCATGAAAACATCCGCTTTCAGGAGACTACGATATGAGATGTGGCGATGAAGGCATTCATGTCTATAGATGCTACGTGAATGGAAAAGGAGTGTACGTCGGTCAGGCCTGGATTGACAAAAATGGTGTCGTCAACATCCTGAAATAAAATATTCTGATAGAAAGTCTGTATTACAAGATTCTCCTCAATGTAAGCTGATTGTAAATCGTAACTGGATCGTATCTTGACTTCTATTCGGTAATGGCTTAATCAGTTAGGAGCCTGGAAATATCCTACTATATATAATCCGCTAAGTTTGTCTGTTGGTGTGAGTGTGTGTGTATGTTTGTGCGTGTGTGTTTGACCGGAAATTCATAACTTTCTTCAAAATAGCGATAAAGCGCTCAAACTTATAAGTGATCTAGGGGTCGGGCAGGAACACCATTGGTGGGTGGCAGGAAGTGATAACAGTTGATAAGATACCATAAGGGGCCTTATAAAGGCAAAGTCAGCAAATTCATAACGCGCAGCCACAGGCGAATGGCTAGAGCGCGCTGGCTTCAAAGAAGTAAGATAGGGGGCAGGATGGGAACATTATTGGAGGGTGGCAGGAAGTGATAACAGCTGATAAGATACCATGAGGAGCCTTGAAAAAGAGTGGGTTACCTAACTCATAACCTAACTCATATCACCGGCCACAGCAGCGATGGGACGTTGGTTCAAGAAAAGTTACAGAATAGGGGGCAGAGAGTGGGTTACTAAACTCATCATAACACCGGCCACAGCAGCGATGGGACGTTGGTTTCAAGAAGTTAGATAGGGGCAGGATGGGAACATTATTGGTGGGTGACAGGAAGTGATAACAGCTGATAAGATACCACAAGGGAATAAGAAAGGAAGGGCCACCAGCTCCAAAGCGTGTTCCACAGCGACGACGGGATGTGGGTACCGAGAAGTTACATAGGGGGGGGGGCAGGATGGGAACATTATTGTTGGGTGGCACGACGTGATAACGGCTGATAAGGTACCAAAGCACCTTTTTGAAAAGAGGGTGCCTCCGAAGTTCATAGCGCGAGTTGTAGCAACACTTGGGAACTGTTTCTAGCAAGTCATTCAGGAAGGGGTTAGGAACATTGGTGAAGGGAGATAAGTTGCGATACTGTGTGGGAAAAGAGCTCGTAAGGATAAGTATCTGTTCGGATCCTTACTCTGCTCAGGCCTGGACTTCAGCAACACCGGTGCTCAAGAAACAATGGTCAAAGAGGCTTAGTGAGTCAAGTTATTCTATTGCTTAGTGATATGGTTGTGACTGCTAAGCTCTTGAGTTTCGACGAAAATCAAAAGCCCTGGAAGCTGCTCAACGGAAGTACTAGGATGTGAGAAATGTGAGGATATTTCAGTACCACCAGTCTGGCTGACGCGCATTTCTGCGCGCAGGGTTAAACCTATGTTACTGATACTTGACAGGATTTCTGTGCTGAGCAGTAACACTTAGCCTAATTCCTATGTTTCCAAAACGGCCCATTTCATCATGTTTCTCCCTTTTAATGAACACTTGCCAATGTTAGGCTCTGATCATATTTTTAAAATCACCAATCTTTGGAAATCGGACAGCATAGTGGTTGGAAAAATTCCGATGTAAAAAATATCGAATGCAACAATGGCTGCTCATCATTCCTCACTGGGCCCAACAACTCAGAATTCTTTTTCGCGGAACTCCGAAGCGTAAAACTGAGGGATTTTGCTAAGGGAAAACATCTTGACTCATTGAGAATTCGCCCATTCATTCTTTGGCTACGGTGATGTGAGCAGATACGGACTCCCAAAAGCCCTCGTCGGACACTGTCAGAATTTATCTCCCACCTTTAATGTTCCCTAAGTACCTCTGAATTACTTGCTGGAGCAGTTCCCAGTGTTGCTATAATGCTGTTAATTTTTTTTTTTTTGAATTCTTGCTGTGAATTTTCCTGGCTACTTATCAGTTGTTATCACTTCCTGGCCACGACGCAAGATTTTCCCATACTGCCCCTATATTACTTCTTGGAACCAATGTCTCGTCGTTGCTGTGGCCGGTGTTATGAATTTGGTGACCCTCGCTTTCTAAGAGCCCTTATGATATCTTATCGGCTGTTATCAATTTCCTGCCACCCACCAATAATGTTCCCATCCTGTCCCCTATATTGCCTCTTGGAACCAAAGTCCTAGCGTCGCTGTGACGCGCGTTATGGAGTCGGTGACCCTCGCTTTCTAAGACCCCTATGGTATCTTATCAGCTCTTATCACTTCCTGCCACCTACCAATAGTGTTCCTGCCCGACCTCCTACATCACTTATCAGTTTGAGTGCACAATCGCTGTTTTGAAGGAAGTTATGAATTCGGTCCGAACAGACATCATACAGAACACACAAACGTACAATTGCACACACACGACACACAACACACACACACCACAACCACCAAACACAAACTTAGCAGGATTATATATAGTAGGAAGTTATGATTTTGCGGACAAAGGACAAACATACCTTGAATACCTTGATGTCCGCTCTTCAAGGTTGGTTGCGCCATCCTTGCAGGACACATCTATGCCATTCATCACGATTTCTTGCCATTTGTTGCCATCTCTGTCCATATAGTTTCTTAAAAGGATCACTCCACCTGGCTGGGGGTCTTCCCTGTGGCCTTTTTACACCACGAGGATACCAGTTGGTTACGCGATATGTCCATCGGTTATCGTCAAGACGAGCTACGTGTCCAGCCATCTCTTTTTCGAGTCATAAAATGGTTTTCGATAACATCCTTTACGCCCGTCCGTCTTCGGATTTCGCGAGCAGGGATCTTGTGCATTAGTGTTACTCGACACATTGCTCGCTCCATTGCCCTTTGCGTAGCAGCTAGTCTTCTCTCCTCATCTTTGATTGTGCTCCATGTCTCACTTCCATATACCAGTGCTGGTAGAACATGGGTGTTGAACACCTGAGATCTTATTCTGAGTTTCAATCCGTCTATCGGTGAGAACATCTCGGTATTTATTAAATGTGGCCCATCCCGCCTTTCGACGCCGGCTGATTTCTCCTGTAAGATCATTATCCATCGTTATTGCTTGGCCAAGATACGTGAACGATGAGACTTCCTCAATGACTGATCCTTTCATGCATAAACGATAGTCATTTGTATAGTTGTTTTTCATCCATTTGGTTTTTCCTGGATGTATTACAAGTCCAATGGATTGGGAGGCTTCGCTCAAAATATTCAGGGAGCTTTCGAGTGCACTCGGTTCGCTTCCAATCAAGACTATGTCGTCTGCAAACATCAAGTATTGAAGTCTTTCGCCATCTATCTCAATGCCACAAGGCAGCTCGATTTGCCGCATTACAAGTTCTAAAGCTGCAGAGAATAGTTTTGGAGAGATGACCTCGCCTTGCCGTACGCCACGTTGGATCTTTACACGAACTGGTTCTTTGAGCAATTTTATGTCAGTGTAGCAGCTCGTGTTACATTGTCGTATTATTTCAATATATCTTCTTGAAATTCCGAACGTGGCAAGTGCGTTTAGTACCGCTTGGTGTTCGACCGTATCAAATGCCTTTTTGAAGTCAACAAAAAGATAACATAGCGGGATTCGGTACTCTCGACATCTTTCCGCAAGTTGAGAAATGACATGTATCTGATCGATGGTTGAAAAGCCTTCACGAAATCCGGCTTGTTCTCTTCTCGTATTTATATTGAGTGTTCCACTTATGCGGTTGAGGATGATACGTGAGAAGATTTTGAGTATTGTGGACAGGAGCGCTATAGGACGATAGTTGGCCAGTATATCACGCGGTCCTTTTTTGTGGATCAAAATGGTATTCGAACCCAGCCATTCCTTTGGTACAGTTCCCGACGCCAGCATTTCTGTGAAAATGTCTGCCAAAGGGCGGGCAATGAACTCCTTCAGACATTTCAGGTGTTCTGCCATAATTCGATCTGGTCCAGGCGCTCTTCCTCCTTTCGTCTGTTGAATAGCCTTCAATACTTCCGTTTCAAGTACTTTCCACTCATCTCTTGCAAGTGTGTCATCATCATCCTCACAAAATATCATGTTAGGTTGCACCAGCACTTTTGTGGAGAAGAGGTCTTGGAAAAAGTTTCGAATTTCTCCTTCCATTCCTTTTTTATTCCTGACAACAGAGCCATCTTCTTTTGTGAGATATTCAGGGGTAATGGTTTTGAGTCGAGTGTTGATGAATGTTCTTTTGATGCTCGTGCATTTTTCAGCTGCTTCTCTTGCTTTACGTTGCGCATATTCACGATATTCTTTCTTCACTCTATAGCGTAATAACCCTGTTTAATATAGTTCTAGCCACAGGAGTCATAGTTTTTCCCAATTCCTTCCGAGTGGCCAACATTTGCAGCGTAGTAGCACTTAATCGTTCCCGAGGTCTGCTTCGAACGCGCTCTGAAGCATTTTTAACTACATCCCGAATAGTAGAAATCAACTTTTCGTATCTGCTGTGAACATTTCCCTGTTCTGAAGAAAAGTTTGTCGTGGAAGCGAGCGCTTTTAGTCGTTCTTCAGAGAGCACATATTGAGCACGTTGCGAATAGTATGCAGCTAATCGTCTCCTTTCTTCTCTGAGCTTTATTGCTACTGTGGCTCGAACTAAACGGTGGTCCGATCCAATATTAAAATGCGATTCTCCGATCACTGTAACGTTGTGAAAGAGGCGCAAGCAGTTGGTTAAGAAGAAGTCGATTTCGTGGAACATCTGCCTGTTCGGGGTATGGTATGTCCAGCGACGTCCTACACGCTTTTGGAAATATGAGTTTGCCACTGATAATCGACTCCGTTCGGTGAATTGTGCTAAAGCCTCTCCTCTGCTGTTTCTTCCAGGTATTCCGTATGGCCCTATATAGGATTCATCAGGTTCTCCGCATCCTAAGTGGGCATTGAAGTCTCCAGCGCATATCACATATGCTCCTTTTGGAGTAGTGGCAATTGCATTTTCGAGCGCGTCGTAGAACTCTTCCACGGCTTCATCTTCGTATGCACCGGTGGGGGCATAGACCGACAGTATTTTCATCGTCTTCTTTTTGCCTAGTTCGAGCATTAGGATCGCAATTCTTTCAGACACTACATCGCAATAGGCAATCCTTGCAGTGAGACGTGGCGATACTATGAATCC